TTTTTAAGATCCGGAATCTTGCTGCTGTCGGGGTTTGAACCCGGGCAACCGTTGGGCTTGCGAGTGCGTAGCTGCTGCTGTAACACACTCGCCATACTATGTGTCTGTCTCTTATACACATCTAGATGTGTATAAGAGACAGCTTCTATACCAAGCTTGGGCGCGCATGGGCGCGCACTCTAACTGCAATACCAAGCTTGGGCGCGCATGGGCGGGCACTCTAACTGCAATACCAAGCTTGGNGCCTATGCACGTGGCCATTTGCAGTGCCACGTGGCAGCCTGCTCTGAAGACTGAAGACCCCCCTGGCTAGGGGGCTGCGCCACAATATTTTTTTTTTACTATTTTTCTACTGTTGTAGTAGTAGTTTCGCAGCAGCTCAAGATTCCCCCCTCTAGCTAGGGGGTTGTGTAACTGTGGCAGTAGGGTGGTTGATCAAGATCTCAGTCAAAACTAGATCATCATTATCATCTTTTTATTGTTGTGGCATCAAGCTAGCAGCACCTTGAAGGCCAAGATCCTGTGGATCTTGGTAGTGCTTTGCTCTTGGTCAACCAAGAGCCTGGTATTATCTCTCTTCACTAACCTACTCTCCCCCAACACCTTTTCTCTCCCCCCCCATCTTCTAATCATCCTTTCTAACTCTACCACCTTTTTCTCTCCTCTCCTCCCCACTCACCATCTTCTACTAATCTCACCTCCCCCATCTCCCACTTCACTTTTTTTCTCTCTCACCTATTTCTCTCTTCTTCAACACTTTTTCATCCCCTTGTTCCCCCCCCCTACTTCGAATTTTTCTGTTTTTCTTCTTTTCTCTTTCTCTTTGATTTAAATCTTCTCATTTCACCAAAAGTTTGAATTATCTTATTCCCCCCCTTCCTTTCTCATTTTCTGATTTATTTTATTTTATTTTTATTTATTCTGAAAATTCGAATTTCTTTGCGGCACCCTTAAATATGATCAGGAGTTGGTAATTCTTGCTTTCGGCACACATTTTGACCCCGTGGGGTGTAGGGGTAACAAAGTGTTGTCGAAATTTTCTGTTTTTTTTTCACTTAGTATTTTTCAACACATTTTGACTCTTTGGGGGTAGCGAAGTTCTGGCAAAATCTCCTCATTTTACTTAGCCTTTCTTCTTGACGGCACACTTCGACCCCGTGGGGGTAACGAAATGCTGTCGAAATTTTTGAAAAATCAGATATTTTATTTCTCTCCACCTCCTCATCTACTTATTTATTTATTTATTTATTTATTTATTTATTTATTATTTATTTTCTGATTTTTTTTAATTTGAGGCATTTTGAAACCTAGTGTGCTTATCTTGGTCTCTTCTTTCCCTTGGCACATTCTTGACCCCATGGGGGGTAAAAAAATGCTGCCGAAAATTTTTTAAAAAAAAATATTATTTATCTTTTCACTTTTTTTTTCCTTATTTTTTTAATTATTTTTATTATTTGTTTATTTCCTTATTTATTTTTATTTTTCTCTCGAAATTTCGTTGTTTATTTATTTTTCTTCCCGCCTTCCCCCTTTATGCTTGCTATTTTATTTTCTTGATTAGGTCACCGGTACCCTATCCTAACCACTCAAACTTCAGTTAGGGTTTTCTTAGGGTTTTTCTAGGGTTTAGGGTTTTCCTAACCCCCCTACTTTCCCTTATCATTCGGCCACCCTGGATCCGAACCACCCCTCCTCTTTTGACGACACCCACGCTCGATTTACTAATGCCGCCCATCGCCTTCTATCGCAGACCTCCCCCTACGTCCTTCGCTCACGTGGACCTCCTCCGACCCTCTCTAGTCCGGCCCGTTACCTCCYCATGGCCGACGGCGTGTCACAAGCCGCCGAGGCGACGACGACCTTGGCATCGGGCTCCACACCCGTGCTGACGGACCAGGGCCATCAGCCCCAAAAGGATCTGCACACTCTCATCACCTCCCTCCTTGCGCCCTTACAGGAGCAGATGCCGACTCTTGTCGTTGGTCTGCGGCAACTCCAGGACGCTGGTCGTCCTTCCTCTCCCCACTCTCTCTTTTTTCCTGGCTCCCAGTCCGGGTCCCCCGTCCTCCGACATGGTGGCCACGGCGGAGCTTCCTCCTCTGCCGCCTCCGACCCGGCCATCCTGGTGACCGTCCACGCTCCTAGAGCGACGACCACCACGGGCCAGGACCTCCCTCACTCTACGGGCGCACCCGCCCAGATTCCGGTCATTACGGCCACGGGACCACAACCCGCTGTCGTGGTCTCAGCTTTTCCGGGTTCCCCGCTTCTCCCTCCCCTTCGCACGACCGCAACACCACCTGGCTCTCCCCCCTGTGGGATGCCCCTCGCCGCTCGTGCGTCCACTTCCCCCACTCTTCCTCCTGCCACTCCTCGCTCGATCTACGTTTGACGTCTCGAGGACGAGCTTGCCCAGACCCGGGCCGACCTCACCCTCTTACGCCTTCAGCCACCCCCACCCTCACAAGTGGCCGCGCCTTCGACCGCACCCCCTCCTTCTTCTACTCTTCCTTCCATGCAGGCTCGCTTCCCTTGCCCTGCACCCTATCCAGCCACATCCTACCTTCTTCCTATCCCCTCGGTTGTCGCGACCTCTTCTACCGCAGCTCCCTCGCAGCATGCAGCCGTTGCCCCCACCACTCCCCCATGCGGCCCGAGCGTACAGTCAGCAGCGCCCCTTTCTCCAGGACCTCCGCCGACTTACTCAACCGTGGCATGGGCCTCTGCTCCTCGATCCCCTCGCCACCAAAACAGTGGCGCACCACTCGTCCGCTTGGCGGGCATTGCCTTGTACGACGGTATAGGGATACGCATGTCTCGGTGACTGCAATCTACTACCCGCACGCTCGAGCTCATGGGCGCCCCACCCGACACGTGGGTGGGTCACCTCTCCACGCGTCTGCGTGGCAGTCCTTTCGAGGCCTGGGAGGATTTCTACGAGCACTCCCTTCGTGAGGGTCGGACCCCGACCTTCATGGATTTCCAGGTGTTCCTCGAGGGGGGCGTAACCAGTACGCTGAGGCTGGGAGGAGGAGGCGGGGTGAAGACAGGTCCGCATCTGCTGATGGATCCTAGCGGCCTCATAAGTCTGCGGGGCCGATGTGAACTTGTACCACCATAACTCAGAGCGGTACTCAAGGGGAAGGCTGGCCAAGAAACGGTCGATGAGGGCAGCCTCTGGAAGGAACGCCACATCACAAATGAGGCGGGCATCCTGAAAGACATGGATGTGGCGGTCCAGGCCAATAGCGCCATCAGAGTCGGACCAGAGTGTGTTGACGACTCGCTCGAAGGCGTCAGTGACGTCATGTCGGGCTCCGAAGCGACACTTCCCAGCGTCGTTCCCCTTTCCGTGGTCGCCCCCGCTATTCCGCGCAGCAGGGCCGCTACTTCTCACACCGCTTCAGCGCGCTCGAGTATGGTGAGCAAGACGTTGTTGCCCGGTTGTCACCAGAGGGTGACCATAGCGACGACCTCGACCTCGACGAGGTCGTCCACTACCACCTGGAGGACTCTACTCTCCCTATGGCTGAGCGCCTCCAGCTCATCCTCTCCGCCCTCTCCCGGACACGCAGCTGCTCTGGTCACACTGGCGCGTCGCCCCCCGAGGTCCCTCAGCAGGACCTCCCTCAGGGCTTTGTCCCTCCTCGTGGTGTCCTTTCCACTGAGGAGCGCGCGGCCATTTTGGGCCGGCGTGGATGTTTGCGTTGCCGCTAGGACAGTCATACCTCCTCGCGGTGCCCTTACACCGCCGCCCTCGACCGCCACTATGCTGACCTTTCCTGCCAGTATCGCGCTCAGTCCCCCCTCGGCGCCTCACATCCCTGTGGGGCCTCCTAGCCACGGTGCAGTGTGCACCTGTGCCCTCCTCAGTAGTCGGTTTCCTAACATCCCCGTCGCGGTTTGCCCCTCTCGCTACTGGAGTTGAGGTATCGCAGTACCAGACAGAGTGTACTTAGCCCTCTGTCGAAGTACCGGTTGCGCCTCCGCAGACCACCGTCTTCCCTCCTACCCCACCGCGACTACCGACGCGTCGAGTCATTCGCTCAGCCTGTTGCAGCGAGCAGCTTGCGACTCGCGAGGACATTGTGTCCTCTCTTCTGGACTTGAGCATGCTCCAGGCTCGTCAGGAGCGACTCACCCTCCATGTCGCTGCACTGCGTCACCTTCTCACCATCCTCTTTGACTCTGATCGCACCCTCCCTATCATTCCAGTACGACTGGGGACCTCCACGAGGGTGTACTCAGCGCTGTAGGATTCCGGTTCTCACGGCGACTTCATTCACCCACGTGTGGTGAAAGAAGCCCGCTTACCCACGACAGGGCCTCCTACTCCCATCTTCGTCACCCTAGGAGATGACAAGACCTAACGCTTCTTCGATTAGACGGTCACCGACCTCCCTTTCTTCCTCACCCTCGAGCCGACCGGTCATCCCCCGGTGTCCCGTCGCCACCGCTCCTCTGCACATTTCGATGTGATGAAGACGGGGTACGATTTCATTCTCGGTATTTTGTGGTCTCATTGGTTCCGCAGCACCGAGGCCGATTGGGCGACCAGCACTCTCGTTCTCAAAGCGAAGTGTGGACAGATGTATCGCGTACCTTTCATAGGTACCACTGCGACATCACGCCCCGATCCTCCTCCCCCGGAGCCTTCCGTGCCCACACCATCTCCTACGATCAATGTCACCTCGCCTCGGCAGTTCGCTCACTTCATCCGACAGGACGACGTCACCTTCTTTATGGTGAATGTTACGGATCTCTTACACTATGATCCACCCTGTCCCAACGCCGAGCTCATCCCTCTGGAGCCAGATCCTCCTTCTATCTCCATGACTCTCATCTCTACTTCCCACCCTCCGCCGCCCGTCGAGTCCACCCTCCCGTCTCGCGTTGACGCTGACGTTGAGGAACTCGCAAGATATAAGGCTGACCTAGAGTCCGCAGTTCGTGACCTCATTCGAGAGTACCATGACGTTTTCCCATCGTCGTTCTCATACGTTGGCATCCCACCGATGCGCGACGTCGAGCACTCCATCCAGCTTGTGCCTGACTATCGTGTTCACCACCAGGCACCCTACAGACTCTTGATCCCCGAGGCCACCGAACTCAAGCGTCAGCTTGAGGAGCTCCTGAGACTGGGTTTCATTAAACCCAGCATTTCCCCGTGGGGTGCACCCATCCTCTTTGCTCGCAAAGCGGATGGAACTCTTCGTCTTTGCATCGACTATCACGGCCTCAACCGCTACACGGTTAAGAACAACTACCCCATGCCTCGTTCCGACAAGTTGTTCGACCGCCTAGCAGGCAACCGCTTCCTTACGAAGATTGATCTTCGTAGCGGTTACCATCAGATCCGCTCGCTGCAGCGGACCAGCCGAAGACAGCGTTCCGATCGCACTTCGGTCACTACGAGTTTACAGTGATGATGTCATTCGGCCTCACCAAAGCACCCGCTACCTTCCAGAGGGCTATGAACGACATCTTCAGGGACATCCTGGAGCAGTACGTTCTCGTCTACCTCGACAATATCCTGGTCTACAGTCGTACCCTTGAGGAGCATCTCAGACACCTCTGCGACGTCCTTGACCGCTTGCGCAGACATGGCTTCTACGCCAAGCTGAGCAAGTGCCGCTTTGCACAGCAGAAAGTGGGTTTCTTAGGATACTACGTGTCTAACCAGTTTCTCTACATGGACGATGCAAAGATCACTGCTATTGCAGAGTGACCCGTCCCCACATCCACCAAGCAGCTTTGCAGCTTCCTAGGCCTTACCAGCTACTATAGTAATTTCCTTCAGGGATACACTAGGTATTCCTACGTCCTTACCTCTACCCTCCTCCGGAAGAACCCGCCATGGGTTTGGACACCCCTCTACGAGGACGCATTTCGCGCCCTCAAAAAGGCAGCGACATGTGCACCGGTTCTTCACCTACCCGATTTTGATAGCCCTTTTATCCTTACCACTGATGCGTCAGACTTCGGTGTAGGAGCAGTGCTTTCTCAGATTTTCCCCTCCTCTCCTGATTCCTCTCATCCTCGTATCCCTCGCTTCCCACCCCCTCCCCCTACCACTGCCTCCCGCCTGACGCCTACTCGTCCCGCTACTGACGAGCCTTCTATTGACTATTCCCCTATCATCGTCGAGGACGGCACTGTCGAGTCTCGCTCAAGCGATTGTCCGATAGCCTTCTACTCCCGTCAGTTCCTGCCCGCCGAGATAAACTACACCACTGATGAACATGAGGTTCTCGCAGTAGTTTATGTCGCTCGGCACTGGCGTCACTACCTGCACGGGGCACCGTTCATGGTGCGCACGTACAACTCTGTTGTCCAGGCTTTTCTGACAAAGTCGAAGCTCACTCCTCGACAGGATCGCTGGTGGCGTGACCTGTCCGAGTTTAGTTTCACCACAGAGTACATCAAGGGTGAGACTAATCGGGTCGCAGATGCCTTATCCCGGCGTCCTGACCATGATCAGGAGCAGCTCCATCTCGCTGCCATCTCGGTCACTACCGTTCACCACTCGGTGATCGACGAGTTTCGCACTCAGTACCGCCACTGCCCCGACTATCGCGACATCCATGCGACCCTTCGGAGTGGCAAGACCGTCCCGAACTACTCTCTCGGGGACAACGGTCTTGTGTACTAACACGATTTACATGGCACCAGAGAACCTCGTATTTGCGTTCCCTCCACCAGACAGCTACGTGTCCGGGCAGTAGCAGAGTTCCATGACCAGGTAGCGCCGATCATATGGGCTTCCACAAGACGACTCGTGTGAGCCGCCTATACGTCTGGCCGAAGCGCAAGGACTTTGTGAAGGACTACGTCGCAGAGTGTCCCACCCGTCAGGAGGTAAACAGTGCGAACCACTTGCCTTATGGTTTGCTTCAGCCTCTTCCTATCCCTGAGGGTCGTTGGCAGTCCATCTCGATGGACTTTATCAGTCTTTTTCGTCCTCCGACCCCCCGCGGTCATGATGCTATCCTGGTCGCCGTCGACCGCTTCACGAATCGTGCACGCTTTGTTCCGTGCCACTATGCCATCAGTGCACGTGAGGTCACCAACATCGTGTTTGACCGAGTCGTGCGTGACCACGATTTACCTCTGAGCATCATATCTGACCGGGACCCGCACTTTACCAACCGATTCTGGCAACGGCTCCACGAGGTATACGGCACTCATCTCCGCTTCTCCTCGTCTTACCATCCCAGACTGATGGTCAGACCGATATCACGAAAATGACTCTCGGAGATATTCTACGAAAGATTATTTGTGACGACCAGCAGTGGGATCTCCATCTTGCCCACGCGGAGATAGTCTACAACCACGTCGTCTCACCAGCCACGGGGATGTCGCCTTACTATTGCGACCTCGGCTATCACCCTCATGTTCCCGCGGACTTCCTCCGACCGTCACAGATGCACCCCGACACGAGTTGTCCCGCACTGGATGATTGGGTTGCACACATGACGTCGATCATGAAGACCGCACATGAGCACATAGCCGCTTCCCAGACTCGCATGGTTGCACGTGCGAACCAATAGGATGGATCATTCATTCAAAGTCGGTGATGATGTGCTTATCGACGCCCGACACTTACAGCTCGAAGAGGACACACTGCACAAATTTCGGTGTCGCTTCTTTGGCCCATGCCGCATCCTTCAGGTCGTCGGTTCTGATACAACATCTAGCCCAGTCAGCTTCCGTGTGAAGTTGTCCGACTACCTACGCTAGGCTCGTGTGCACGATGTCTACCACGTCTCGTTACCGTGTCCTTACAGCAGACCGTCTAAGCGTTTCGCTGGACGACCATACAAGCACCCTCCACCCATCATGGTGGACGACCACGAGGAGTTCCTCGTTTTAGACATCATTGGTCGCTGAGTCACCGATGACAACCCTCCCCACGTCGAGTATCTCGTACGTTGGAAGGGTTACCCTGATGAGGAGGCTACCTCGGAGCCCCTCGAGCACTTGCAGCACCCTCGCATGTTGGTGTGTGCCTATGACCGTGCTCGTCGTGCTAGGTCGATTGCCCCCCCTCATCCCATTGACCCTCCTCCTTCTCCCTTAGTTGAGGAGACCGTTGAAGTCGAGCCTGCCCCATCTGAGGCAAACCTTCAGCAGCAGCCGGATGCTTCTGAGCATCCACAACGCACTCATCGTCGTCCTGCTCGATACGACGACTGACTCTGACTTCCCTTCCCATGTTTGTGACTTCTCAGTACTCCATCCACTCCAGTTTTGCCACTTCAACTCGTCGACGTTGCGGCTGTTCCTCGACGGCATTCTGGACTTCTCATCATGGACGTCATGGGCAGCTTCATGGACTTCGTTACGATCAGCTCTGCCTACTTCAGATGTCGTCGTTCTCTTACCACCTTACCCTGTACAGTACCCTGGTTGTGTCGCATAATGGACTTCTTTCGCCGGGTTCCTCTGAGTTGGGCTCTCCCTTGGTATACACATAGGCATCGAGACCGTAGCGTTGCCCTGGCTTCCCAGCTTAGGGATCTAGCTCTGACTTCCCTCACCTTAGGAGTCATTTGCATGATTCCCTTACCCATCACTTTTCTACCCTCTGTCGGCCCTCACACCCTAGTTAGGTAGCCTTGCATGCTTCATCTGGGTGCGCCCAGTATACCAGGCTCCCTTGTTACCCTGCATGATCGACCCTCCATAGCGGTCACCCCTTTAGTCGAGCATTACCCGCCCTGATGGTCTATCTGTTAGGGTCATTGGTTCTATTCGCTCCCAGTTCCCTACCCTCATTGTGCCTGATGACATGTGTCTCCCTGTTATTTTGTGTGGATTCCCCTAGGAGTTATCGACCCCTAGGCTGCATTCGCCACCCTCAGAGACCATCCCACCCTTTGGTTCGCGACACACTTCTCCTGTGACATATGGTTGTCTTATTGTTGCTTGTTGCTCTTAGACTGAGGCTACTGCCTCTGACATTCTAGGATTTAGTTGTTCTGCTTTTGTTGTTCTTAGGACTTATACACTAGTCAGTTGTTTCCAGACTGAGGCTACCACCTCCAACATCCTAGGGTTTAGTTGTCATTACTTTCTGCTTTCCTAGGATATGTATGCTAATTAGTTGCTTCTGCTTTTACTTAGGCTGTTAGTTGTGACATTGTTGTTTTTGTGATATTTTCTATTCTAGGTTGCATCGCATGGACTCAGCATGGAGCTTGCTCTGCATTCTAGACTACTTAGGTTTTCTTTTCTTTGCTAGAGTTCCGCTTCTTGGCGGAAGTGTGCTTGTATCTCGGCTACGAATCCCCCTCGGCGGCGGCCATCCGTGGACAAGTCCGCGGCCGCGATCCCGCGGACGTGTCCGCGGTCCGCGGCCATGAAAAAAAAAAAAAAAAAAATCCAAAACTTCTGGAAAAAAAAAAATGTTATGCAGAAACATATATTGAACAACGTTTGCCTTGTGGTTGTATCCAAAAATGTTATTGAATTTAAAATTAAAAATCACATATGTTTCATGTTTTTTTTTTGGAAAAAAAAAACAAACAGCTTTTGCCTTAGGAAAATTAGTTTTTGAATTTTTAAAATCCGAAGACAAAGTCAAAAAATAAAATAAAACATTGCGCAATTTAGATCTCGAAAAGATCTACAACCCCATAGTTTTTTTTTTTTTTTTTGATAAAGTTTGAAGGTCATAAAAAATTCATGAAAGTCGCGGTCGCACCCAACCGCGGCCGGAGCCGCGACGGCCGTGATCGCGTCCGCCCTCCGAGCTTGACCCCGCGGACGCGTCCGCGGGTGTTTCATAGTATCTCGGCGATCCATCACAGGTCGAGGATCGTGTAGCGGACCTCTGGTTGGCCTGTGAGACCAGCCCCTTGGCCTATTCTCACAGGCCTGTGTTGTATTCGGGGTAATCCAGTACAGGTCGGTACCTTTGTTGGTACCAGCCAGTCCAGTATTTTCCCGTCAGTCCGCTGGGGTATACCCCAATTGTTGTCTGTTTTCCGATTCATTCTATATTCGCACATCTTGGAATACGTACGTTGGAGCCTTGCGTGGGAGTTGCGCTGTGCCATCTCGCTCCCCCTTCATCCTCCATCTCCATCTCTGTCCCAGGCGGAGCACCACACCTAGTGGGTCCGCCACACCAATTCGATCTGATGGTAGCCAGACTTCAGATCAATCTTGGTAAAATACTTGCAACCTTGTACTTGATCAAGCAAATTATCAATTCGCGATAATGGCGCAACATTCTTAATCGTTATATCATTTCAACTTCTATGGTCTATACACATGCGGACCCTGCCATTTTTTTTCGGCACAAACAATACTGGCGCACCATAGGGCGAGGAACTAGGCCTAATCCTACCCTTTGCCAGCAACTCATCCAATTGTGTTTGCAATTCATTCAACTCTTTGGGTGACATTCTGTAGATTGGTCTCTTTGGAATTTTGCTACAGGGTACAATCTCTATCATGTGCTTAACGGGTCGATCCACCACTCCACTTGAGAACTATCACATCTGCAAATTCTTTTAATAATTTTTCAATTTATGGGGGGTTGGATTCCTCCTTAGGCTCTTCTTCTTTTATTGGGTGCATATATGCCACAAAAACTTGATCAATCAAACTATTTTTTCTCACATGGCGGATGATGTTGGGGCACTCATGCAATAATGAGCTAAGTTGCTTTCTATGTCAGACTCATGATACAGATAACATTTCTTCTTTCCACCCTGGGGACTAGGACGATAGCACGCATGCTCTCCCAATTTTACGTCTGCATCTGCAGTTTCTCCCCAATCAGTTCCTAGGATAATGTCAAAAGGAAGACTATCCTCCACCAAGAGAGTCAGAGAGTGGAAAACACGTTCCACGTTCCTCTCTGCTTCTAGCCTGAAGTATGTCTCAACCCTTTCAACATATTTATCAACAATCATTTTTCTATTATCAACTAACTTACTAACTATGGGTTCATCTAACCTTTGTACTTTAAGCCCAAGACGCAGCTTTTGCAAACCTTTCTTACTGATAAAGTTGTAGGTTGATCCATTATCAATCAAAGCACATACCTTAACTTTATTTATTTTTATATTTGCTATAAGCAATTGCCCTTTTTTTTTTTCATTTCGGTAAAGGCTTGGCGACAAGTGGTCAGATCATCACCCATGCCAGTGAGGGAGTCACCTAGAGAGGTACTAACACAAATCACCTCTGGGCAGCTAACTAGGTGGAAACCGATTGTCTTCTCAGTCTCTGCGAATGGAGCCTTCATATGGGAGGATGTCAGTCTACTTGCATTTGAAGCTCATGTAAGGGCAACTGTGACCCCTACTGGCTGTTCCCTTTTGGGTATCTGTAGTATGGGCAAAAAGAAACGATGTCGTCGGGGTCACCACACTTCAAACATTGTCCCGCAGTCTTTCTTTCTTGCCAATTTTTTTCATTTATCCCCATCTGTTCCCACGGTTTGCCTAACGGAAGACCAGGATGGGTTGGATATGGCCGCGCCCAATTTCCTCTACCTCTACCCCATATGGAGTTGAGACCTCGTCCACCTTGCGATGGACCATTTCCCGTACCTCCCACATAGTAGCTACCTTCGTTACCACCCCTCTGGGCGGTGGGTCCTCATCCTCCACCACGACCGCAGCCTCCTCTACCTCTTCCAAGCCTCTTCCTCCTCATTGCCCTCCCCCGGGAGCTACAACGACCGCATAGTCCCCTCCCTGGGCTAAGTGACCGTTGTTGTCCTCGTCTAGTCCATAATCTATTTGGTCATAAGACAACGATTCTACACCTCCTCTTCCTTCTTCGAAGGTGACTAGTAAGTTATCTTTCCCTGTTATGTTACCGGAAATGGTACGATCCCTCGACTTCTTACCTGCCTGCAGGTCTTTCCAGTAGTGGTCGTAATTAACTTCCTGTAAGAAGGCAACATGATCTACTGCAATCTTGCTGAATTTCTCATATGTCATCCCGTCCTCTTTGGTACGGGGGTATAACTGAGTACGAAGCGGGTCTGGGAGTGCTCTAGCGAAGTTGTTCAAGATTTGGGCTGGGGTTAGTCCATGGTCAGGGCATTGCAATAGCTCATCCATAGTGGCTTTGAGTGTTGATGCACTCTTCCACTTGCGATAACCTATATTTAGGATGAGGGACTCGGTCCTTCGAGCCAGATTCTTATCCTCAAATCTTTCCCTCAAAGCCTTAAAGAAATCTTTTATGCGAGTTTGTTGCAAAAATAGCACCATTGACTGACATCCAACTTCTTTCTGTAAGGAGATGGCAAAGCTCATTGCATCCCCTGCCAGACACGAACTCGCCATCAACACTCTATCTCAGTATGGTATCTTTTGCACATACAAATAGGTGTCCATCGCTGCCTCCCAATGAAAGATACTCTCCTCCTTTTTACCTGTATAGGTCCACGACAGTTTCACCTTCATTTTCTGTCGGGTATCCTCCGCCTCGCTGTCCCCTTCTTTCTTAGGACCCTTCTTCTTATCTCCATCGTCTCCTCCATCTCCCCCATCTCCACCACCGCCACCTAATATTTTCTTAACTACGGCGGGGTCTGTTACTCTTTTGCTTATCTGAGTGTCTGACTGATCCACATAGAGTTTCATGTGATGGTCTACTTCCTGTGCAGATCGCTACATGAAGTTATTCCACACAAGTGCAAATTCAAACTGATGGCCTTCTAACTTTTGCACAGCCCTAGTTAACGCAACAAGTTGTTTGTTGGTATGGAGGAGGGTGACAGTGAGAAGGGAGAGTCGTTTATCCGCAGCTGCTTGTTGTTCCTTTTGCTCTTGCAGTTGTTTCTGCAGTCTCTCCCCTTCTTCCTTCATTATTTTCTTCTCTTCAAATTCTTGCCTCTTGGCTGCCACCATTTTATTACTTAATTCTGCTTTTTTTTTCTTCCAACAGAATTTCATTTTCTGCAGGATCTTCTGTTGCAGCAAACTTTGCAACGAAAGCATTATTTTCCTCCTCAGACTCAACAAGCATTTTGGTTCTATATCCAATCTCCTCCAGCCAGTTCATAGCTTCGAGCTGCACTGTGATTTCACCAGCTCAGCTGCTTTCTCCTCTCTCAGATCGGTGTCGTTCTAGATGCTCGCCATCTTCTTCTTCTTCTTCTTCTTCTTCTTCTTCTTCTTCAACCTTCATCTCTTCCTGTAGCTGTTTCTTTTTTTCTTTCATTTCTTTTTCCAATTTTTCCCTTTCGACCTGTATTTTCTTCTTAACCTCCTCCTCTTTATTTTTCCTTTTCTCTTCCTTTTCTTTCTTCTTCTCGGCCAGGCGATGTTGTACCTCAGCCTGCTCAGAAGCAGAGGGTCCGGGCTTCACTGTTCCAGACCGCATCATCATATGGGAGGTACACATCCTCCCGAAACGAAGGGGGAAGAGGAACCGAAATAGTGGCCCTAACAAGATATAGAGCGCCACCATCTCGTACATGGGATAATCATCCATGGTGAGAAGAGCACAGGGTAGCCTCCACTCACTCACCAAGTAGTTACCCTAAATCTGTCTCTAATATGATTGATGGGATCTGCTTTTTTTAAAAATCTCTGGCTGTTCGCTACTTTCCAAACGCAATAGCAACTTCAGGGCAGTTTTCTCTTTCTGTCTTTACCCCCCGCCTTTTTTTTTTAACGCTGTCTGTCTGGACCCTTCGCTACCTATCACCCCTTCAAACTTCTACTAACACACTACAAATATTGTCCCTAACTTCGACAAGACAGCAGCAGTGACCACCAAGACTTATGGGAAGGTACTAAGCACACACACATTCAGCATGCAAACAGGTCTTAGGGGGCAGGGATTCTTCTCTTCATACGACTTCCGTTGGTGAAGCTCCACGTACGCTCCACGTATGCTCCAGCGCCACTCCAAGCAAGTACGTAACATTTCACTTTCTTGGCCCTTCTCCTTCGACACCTCCCTCCAGATCCCACAACCCAACTTCTTCTCACTTCCTTCAATCGCTCTTCTCGCCGGCCTTATGATTGTCAGCGAACTTCAGTGAGTGTAACAAGTGTCGCTCCGATACCAAATTGTAATGAGCCTCAGCACATGATGGAGTGCTCTAGCCAGCATGCATGACTCACAGATTCATGGATTTCTTTATCACACACATTGCACAAGAGAAGATGAGTATTAGACCAGATAGCGCAGCTCAATTATCACAACCTGATTATAGAAAGAATCATGAGTTCAATTGTCCAGCGCTCAACAAGTTCATAAGTCTTCTTCGATCATCAAGAGTCTCAACAACTGCGCTCATTAGCGCTTGTCTTCCACACCAAGTTCGCCGCCCTCCAGGTGAGTATCCACCATGCCTTACTCTCTCTTTCTCTCATATCTGTCTGGTCCTCTCGCCTCACAATCTGCTTCTTCTCTCAAATGCGCACTCCTTACTACTAACACACTCATGAGGATCAACTCTGAATACTACCCACTGCCAGTGCTCTGCTACATCTAGCCACTAGCTCTAAGCTTCCTAGCACTGGTGCAGCTGCCTTCTCCCCTGCCAGCGCCCTCCTTCCTCTCTCTCATCTCACTCGGCGCTGCTCTCTGGCATAGCGCAGCTCCTCACATCTGGTGCACAAGTGCGCTAGCACTTCCACACTCTCGTGCGAATGAACATCTGCCGAAATGGGAGCCTGGCCAGTCTTTTGTAGTGTTGGACTGGTCTTGCTTGGGCCAGTCTCTGGCCGAATTTCCTTGGTACCGCATGCCCACTGCCTGTTACTGCGAAGTGTGAGTCCCAGTACCTGTCTCGTGGTCTGCTGCCGCTTCGGCCTTTGGGCCTGCCTTTCGGACTTCTGGTCTGACTTCAGACACGACCTATGGATAGGGACTTGACTGGGCCTGCAACCTTTAGCTATCTGTTGAACAGACATGACCCTTACCCAGCTCAAGTTAACTGTTCGCAAAAGACCTGGATGTGACTTTTACAAAGTGACTTTTCGTTTTAGTCCTGGACGCGACCTCTGCCTCAGGAGACTTGTCTTTCGAAATGCTGATTCATAACTTCAGGATCTGGCCGACTGGGCCCCTTTATATTGGGGTCTGAATTGTGAAGGCCCTTTCACACATTGTTAATCTGGTTTTCGAACACCCAGGTGGCTGACTCAGTTAATCCCCTGGATTTTCAGGGCAATCAACGCTGGCAGGGGGAGGTCTTCTCAACTTTTCTCAAAAAAAGATCCTTGTTGAAGTTCTAAATGTCCTTATGGGACGCTGGACCCGGTTTCCAGCACGTGCTGCTCCCCACGAATAGATTGTGGAGCTTTTGTTCCAAAAAAAAAAAAAAAAAAAAAAAAAAAAAGTTCGCTTCTTCACTGGAGGGTGGGGTTAGGAAGGCAGGGTAGCTTCTTGTCATTACAGCCACATGTCATTACAGCCACATGTCATTACACACACACTAAACCTGACACATGCACAGTTTGTAATTGCATTTGAAACTGCGTTTAGCAGTTTAGTCAGGGCCCAAGTTTCAATTGCATTTGAAACTCTGTTTAGCAGTTTGAAACTGGGGCTGGCTTTTCCTAGCAGTTCAGTCAGGCACATGGCCGTTCTTTCTTTCTTGTTTTTTTTTTTTTTTTTTTTTCTGGTTGCATGCCGCAACGCTCCGTGCCGCTCCACGGCTGGGAAAAAAAAAAAAAACAGCCCCATGGTTGGGCCACGACCGAGATGTCTCGGCCACACCCCAGACTGGCCACGACCGAGATGTCTCGGCCACACCCCAGACTGGCCACGNAAAAAAAAAAAAAGAAACAGCCCTGTGGTTGGGCCACGGCCGAGATGTCTCGGCCACACCCCAGACTGGCCACGGCCGAGATGTCTCGGCCACACCCCAGACTGGCCATGGCCGAGATGTCTCGGCCACACCCCAGATTGGCCAGGGCCGAGATGTCTCGGCCACAGCAGAGATTCGCAGGCACTACCCTTCACAGGCAAACGCGAAGTCTCAAGAGTAGCCTACTCTGAAAAGTGGGGGCCTCGGGCCAGGGATGGAGGCCAAAAAAAGAAAAAAGAAAAGAAGAAATAAAAAAGTAAAGAAACGAGGAACTTCCAATCCACCTACGTCGGGAAGGCCCTCAGGTCACCACTGCTTTGACGAATGTATCTGGCCCGGAAGGGAGGAACATGAAACAGGTCGTTTTCCTTTTTTTTGTTTCTTGTTGTGAGGTCCCTGTAGCGCCCTGCCAGCCAGGCAGGGTGGATTCCAGGCTTCATTGAGTTCCAGACAAGTACTGTAGCATCCTGTATGGGACCGCAATCACAGCATAAGGGATGTTTTTTTTTTTTTGTTTGTTTATCTGCTGTTCGTGGATAGACGAGGGCCCTGACTGAACTGCTACGGAAAGGCTGCCCGAGTTTCAACTGCAATTGAAACTCGGGCCCTGACTAAACTGCTAAAAAGCAGTTTCGAATGCAATTATGAACTGTTTTCGTGACTGCGCCGAAGTTACCCCCCTTTTTTTTCATGCAACAATCACCCTTCTTCTCAACCACACCAACAACGCCTCCTCAGGCTTTATCAATCAAGCATATACAAACTACGGGCTGTGCACCCGTGCCCTCCCGGTAAGTCAATGGGTCCAGCGTAAGTCAATGGGTCCAGCGTCCGATCATACATTTTATAAACCTTGAACGAGGGATATTCGTCCTTGTGAGCCTTCTACTACATTGTTCACAGGCAAGACACCTCGTGTCAATTTGTCCTCCTGATATTTATCTGACAGTTCCCCCACTATCTCTAGGTGGCGGGCGCCAAGCTTGCCCAGGAAGGTACATGAGACCAATTGGGATTGAACCCAAGACCTCCTGAATGCGGATTGTGTGCCTTACCAACTGAGCTAGGCCTCTGGATTATTCAGGTAATCTGATTGTGGGCCAACACTGCATGCCTCCTGGATGTTTCCGCCTGCCCAGTGGCACGGGTTGAGTGGCCCGCCTGATCACCAAATGAAATTAGGGGAAACTTTTTTTTTTTTTTTTTTTTTTTTTAACAAGTGGGCCCAGTGCCCAAGGCTGATATTACCAATAAGAAGATTGAGGCCGGGGTCCTCACGGTCTACCCCGAGTGACCGAACCAAACATGCTGAGAACCTGGCTCAGCGTCCCTCATATGATGATGATGATGATGATGATGTTGCACTTCTGCTGATTCTATGAAAACTGTGAGATAATGATACTAGTGATGACGATGCTACTG